ATCATCATCATCATCATCAGCATCACCACCATCATCATCAGCATCATCATACATCTACATCATCATCATCATCAGCATCATCATACATCTACATCATCATCATCATCAGCATCATCATACATCTACATCATCATCATCATCAGCATCATCACCATCATCATCATCAGCATCATCATCATCAGCATCATCATACATCTACATCATCATCATCATCAGCATCATCATACATCTACATCATCATCATCATCATCAGCATCATCATACATCTACATCATCATCATCATCATCAGCATCATCATACATCTACATCATCATCATCATCAGCATCATCATCATCATCAGCATCATCATACATCTACATCATCATCATCATCATCATCATATATCATCATCATATATCATCATCATATATCATCATCTACATCATCATCATCATCATATATCATCATCATATATCATCATCATATATCATCATCATATATCATCATCATATTTCATCATCATCATCATCAGCATCATCATACATCTACATCATCATCATCATCATCATCAGCATCATCATACATCTACATCATCATCATCATCAGCATCATCATACATCTACATCATCATCATCATCATCAGCATCATCATTCATCAATATCATCATCATATATCATCATCATATTTCTCATCATCATCACAAGCATCATCATACATCTCCTCTCATCATCATGCATCATCGCATCATCAACATCTACATCATCATCAATCATCAGCATCATCATACTCTACCATCTTCATCATCATCACAGCATCATCTATACATCTACATCATCACAATCATCTGGCACATACATCTACATCATCATCATCAATCATCATCACATCAGCATACATCTACATCATCATCATCATCAGCATCATCATCATCAATCATCATCACCAGCATCATCATACATCTACATCTACATCATCATCATCATCAGCATCATCATACATCTAACACTATCATCATCATCAGCATCATCATACATCTACATCATCATCATCATCAGCATCATCATACATCTACATCATCATCATCATCATCAGCATCATCATACATCTACATCATCATCATCATCATACATCTACATCATCATCATCATCATCAGCATCATCATACATCTACATCATCATCATCATCAGCATCATCATCATCATCATCATCAGCATCATCATACATCTACATCTACATCATCATCATCATCAGCATCATCATACATCTACATCATCATCATCAGCATCATCATACATCTACATCATCATCATCATCATCATCATATATCATCATCATATATCATCATCATATATCATCATCATATATCATCATCATATATCATCATCATATATCATCATCATATTTCATCATCATCATCATCATCATCATCATCATCATCATCATCATCATCATCATCATCATCATCATCATCATATATATATCATCATCATCATCATCATCATCATCATCATCATATATATATATGTATATGGGGATTATCATCATCTTACTGTATATGGGGATTATCATCATCATTATTTCCATCATGGATCCCAGTACTTCAGTTGAGTGTGAAATGGGTTTGTCGGAAAAATCATGATCAACCACTGGATTTTGGAGGTTTCCAGTTATTAGATAGATAAACCCGTAAATAGATGAAGATACCTTCCTTAGCTGGAATCTTCATAGACTTTCCAGCTTTCCAAGTTTCAAGAACTAGCTACTTGGGGTTGCTACTTGGTGGCGAACTACCCACGAATCGTTAGTAACATACATCCCTCGTTTTGCTAATGGCATGAGTAGGTTTACCCTCTGGTAATCAAACATGGCAATTGAAAATCCTCTATAAAAGGTGGTTGAATGGGAACATCCTCCATACATGGTGGATTTTCCAGCTAGCCATGTCTGATTACCAGACTGCAATCTGCTTATTTCACTTGGATGATTACCTAAGCTACTTACGAGTTCTAGGATGATCCGGGTCCGCCAGGTAGATACCTTAACAATTTCAAGTTTTCCAATCCTTCTATTGACTTGGGGGTTTGTAGAAACTATATAGGGTGAATCAATGTGAATCACCATGTTTTTAGCACTTCGAAACAAATGAAAACCACCATTTTTCCATATTTTTTCTCAACTTTTGCTGCTTCAAATCCCTCCAACAGAAAGAAGGCCAGGCCGGCCATCCGGTGGTCGAGGTGAACATCTTCGGCGGCTTCGTGGTGTCGCAACGCATGTTGGACCTCTTCAAAAAGCCTGGGGACAAGGACTACACAGGAGCCCAAGCCGAGCCGGAGAAGCTGGGAGTCTTTTGTCTGGTTGGTGGTTTGGAACATTTGGATTATTTTTCCATTACTATTGGGAAAAATAATGCCAACTGATGAACTCCATCATTTTTCAGAGGGGTAGGCTCAACCACCAACCAGTTGTTTTTTTTTGGGGGGAGATGGTTTGATGTTTTTTTTTGGTTGGGGATAGCTATATTTGGGATATTTTCTGGGAGAGGTTGGATGGTTTTTGTTGCGATTGAACATGATGAAACGTGGGGATATTGTGGTAATACTATGAGATTCTTCAGGGGGGATGAGAGCCAGATCGGAGACGATCGGAGACGTCCGATTTTAGCTGTTTTTGTTGATGAACACTGCTATCAGATCGGAGATGTTGGGATTTAAGGCTGAGGAACATGTCTTTGATGGTGGTTCATTTCACCTTCTATTGAATGGGCATGGCAAAACCCATTGTTTGATGAAACCATGTAGACATGGCAATGGAAAATACACCATTTATAGAATTCATTGTTGATTTTTGCATGAAAAGTCATGCTTACAAGGGGATTTCCCATTGTTTTTTTTATTTGATGACACCGGAGGGTATCTCCAAAATTCGACAGAAACAAAAAGTCTAGGGGTAACTCAAGTTATTTTTAGTATCCTGAGGGTTTATGATGACGCAACGAGGTTTAATGGTGATTTAATGGTCATTTAACGGGAATTTGATCGGATGTACTAGGATTTATTCGGATTTAATCCGCATAATGGAAAAATACCCTCTGGTAATTGAACACAGTTATGGAAGCCATGGCCGATTCATAGATGATCTGGCTACAAACATAGTGACTTTCAATAGTGATCGCAAACGACTGGAGGGTTCTGCAACTGTTGGTTGTATCAACATTACATATTTCTGTTGGTGGGAAACATGTTTTTTTTGGTACCATTTGTTTTGGAGATACTAAATCATTATATAAACAAGTTGACTTGATACCGGTCATCTATTCCATATAGTGACCAACATACACTTAGAATATCATTTGGAAAAAAAACAACATCCTCAAAGTGATCGCACATACGTTTCCAAACTAGTGGAGTCTTGTAATATCGATATTTTTCATTTCTATAGTTTTTTCATTTCTATAGCAACTATGCTATCGTCATAGTTTTTTTTAAATCATTCTACAAGCTTGCTATAATTTATAATGCATGTTGCCACGATACAAGCTTGCAAGTAATAAAATCGTGACCCGAAAAAATCAAACATGGCCTGCTGGGTTGATCCTCCATTCACTTCGATAAAAATTTCCCAGCGATAAAAAGCAGTTCTGATGGTGACAAGCCTGACAAACCTCCAATGAAATCCATGTAAGAAATCCCTCTTGGAATGATGGTTACATCCCATAAAATTCCATTAGAAATATTATTTAATCTCATTTTTAGATGATGATTCCCCATTAAAAATCCCTCCAAAAAATCCTGATTGTTGATGGTTATCCCTTCAAAAAAATCCTGATTGATGGTAACCAATCCCTTCTGATGCCAGCCATGATGCTCTTCCCTGGCTTGGTCTTCCTGTTCGTGTCGCTGACCAGACCCGAGCTCTTGAAGGCTCGACATTGCCGAAAAATATGGCAATTTCTAGGGACAATTACTGACTATCACTGGCTTGAAGAGAAAAGAAAATCCAAGAAGCCCGAGTTTTTTGGCCATTCAATCTTGAGCATCTTGGCGAGAATCCAATTTTTGGACGGTTAGATCCCATTACATCCCAATTATACCATCATTTTTCCTGGTGAACCTTCCATTCATAATGTTTGAGAGTTAAATCACCATCAATTCATCACACAAGCCACATCTTTCAGCATTTTTCCAGCATTTCTCTGGGTGAACCCCCCTTTTCCCCAGCGTTTTGGGTCGTTGGACCCGTTGGACACGGCGTTACCGCCGAAGGCGGTGAGCACCGTGTCGGCGCTGCTGTGTGTGGCGGCCATTGGGGGCCTGGCGACGATGTCCACCGCCAACGCGGGGTGCAAATTCGGTGCCCCGTGGGACGTCGAGTTTTCCAATTATTAATGATCATCATTATTGTTGATTATTAATGATTATTATCTGATTATGATTACTGGTAATGATTATTATGATTATGATTATTGGTACTGATTATTATGATTATGATTATTGTTGTTATGTGATATATATATACATATGTATACATATATATATATATATTTGTTGGGCTTACCCTACGCACTAAGAGTCTGTTGGTCAGTTGGGGATCTGCTTCAAAAAGACACCATTTTTGGTTGATCTTTCAGAAAATATCTATGAACATATATGGCATTCTTGTGTTCTTTGAATTCTACGGGTCGAAAGTAAGGGCTGCGAAGATTGGCTGGTTAGTGGTTCATATATTCCCCCATATTTTTTCCATTTTCCCCAGATTTTTCACCATTTTTCCCAGTTTCTTCCGGTAGAAATTTCCCACTTTGACGCCCCAGGTATGGTGGGTGTCTTCGGCGCCATGGCGGCCACCATGGTCGACATGGCCGAGGCCGGTTGATGACTCATTGGGGGTGGTACCCTCTGGTAATTGAACGTTGCGAACTGGAAACTCACCATTTTTAAAAGGTAAATCATCGTACATCATCTATTTCTATGGGCCATCTATACCATGGCTATGTTAGTCATAACCAGGTTGGGTATTCATGAAATATTCATGACATTTTTTTTTGGAAAATTCCAGAGGGAACAGAGAATAGATAATACCCTTTGGTAATTTAACGTAGCTATTGAAAATCGCCATTTATAGTGAGTTTTCCCATGAACAATTGTGAATATTTCCATAGTTTTTTGTTAGTTTACCAGAGGGTAGATGATGTTCCCCATCCGGTGTCATCATGGCCGGACAGCCACCCTGGCCATTCTCCGTGGTGGATTTTCCAGCCAAAAACTGAAAGAAACGAAAGCCTGATTTCTCACACAGGTGGGCTATATGGTACCTATATGTCTTACTATATGGCTACTATATGGTTGCTATATGGTTACTATATGGTTACTATATGGTTGCTATATTATAATATGGTTACTATCTGGTTACTATCTGGTTACTATAATCATCACAATATGGTTACTATATGTCTTCGGGTTTGTCCAGATACCCGGAAGGCCGGGACTTTGCAAGTTTTCATTGGATTTTGGGTCCCCTATTTGTGAGCGCGGACAAAGCAATTTTCCGCAACTGGGCCTTTGGTAAGGCCCAGTTGGATATATGGTTTATGATGCCAGAAAGAAAAAACACTTGGGGCTTACAACCAGTCTGATGGTTGATCATCATTTTGCAAGCATTTCAAATTATTGGGGTGTATCCCCCATTGTCAGACTGGTTGTCATGTTATCATTAATGCGCCATGGTCAAGAGTAGCCCGGGGCTGTGTCATTGAGTTGACCTGTTCATGCGAGAGTTGAGTCAAGAGTTGGATTGTACACCCATACTAGGGGATGGTGATGAATCCGCGAATAGCATTGATATACCCATGAACCAAGGATTCCAATTCCCATTATGGGATGGATGACCAGAAAGCATATAGCATGTTTTGAACCTAGCACATATATGGATGAATTGCATACCAAAAAGGAGGATATCCCAACATATGATGCTAAACAACGAGATGAAAAAAATGGTTTGTAAAAAGCCAAAAGGGGGTTCCATGGGTCAAAATTAGAGGCTCCAAATCATGGATCAATTTGGTGGGTCCACTCCTTTGAACCATCCCCTTGTGGGAAGGGGTCAAAACTTTTTACCATTCTTGGGGAGATGATTAAAACCATGGTCAAACCACTTGTCCTACTTTTGGACATTGATCAGGGTTAGAAAAACCACTTGCGATTCCTGGGAAACATCCAAGTACCAGTATCTTGCGATTCCGAATTGGATTATTGCAACCTGCTTGGAACATGGTTCAAGTACCAAAAATTGTTTCCTTGGTACATTATAGGGATTCATCCAAATACCTAAGTAACAAGTACCAAATTGCCACTTGCTGGTTGCAACGGCCCATTTGCTGCAGGGCAATTTGGTTTTCGGTACCATCCTCTTGGCCATTGGCGGTGTGGGAGGCGACCAGGGGTGGTTTCCCGACGGAAATATTGTTGAAGTACCACGACCCGAAAACAGATGGAATAGTACTGTATTGCTAGTAGTTTGTTTGTTTTCTTTATCGATTTTCTATGGAGGTTACTTATTTGTATGATATATGATGTGATCAGCGTCAGAATTATAGCCTATTATATAGCCATCATGATACTTGTACTTATTTTTATTGTGTCCCCTTACTGTATACGTACAATATGTGTATATATATATATGTATAGAATGGGCTAGCGCCCTGGTGCCGCCGACCCCCCCTATTTGGGGGGTCCTGTAGAGAGATAGAGAGATAGATAGATAGATGGATGGATGGATGGATGGATGGACGGATGGACGGATGGATATTGAGGGGCACCTGGCATCCAGTGGTCTTTTCTAGTAACAAGTGAATTGCCCGGCAGCCATTCTGGGCTGATGCATCCTTAAACTGTCCGCCCACTTATGCTCAGGAAAGACAAATAATACGTTGCTATCAAGATTCTTTTTTTGCGAAGCTTAGAGACCATTGCAGCAATCTTCCCACATCGATCAGCGCATTCAACCTTTGGGAGGCTCTAAGATTCTAAGAGAAAAATATGGGAGCAAGAAGATAGTCAGGGCAAGTTCCATAAAAGCCCAAATAAGATATAGTGTAAGTTTATAGGCCATCATGTAGAAGCCACCCGAAGTTCCCACAGTCACCGTGGCCCATGCAACATCGTTCTTGTAATGGTGACCAAGTCTGTAGCAACTGCTGGAAGTGCCCCATTCCCCGGGCAAGCATCAGCAAAGCGGTACAGCGGGTAGCTGCAACGCAGGCAAAAGTCGCGAGGACGGCAGCGGAAGAAAAAAAAGTACGTGCCATCGCCGGTGTCTGGGACGCCATCGCGGAAAGAAAACGCGACAGAGAACAGGAGAGCTCCCAAATGAAGGACGCAGAGCCGAAGGCAAAACATCCCAAACAAGAGAACCGAATAGAAATGAGCACAGACGGGCCTGAAGATGGACGTGGCCAACGGGAAGACAGCGACGAAAGGCAGAGGGCGGTGCGGGCGACGACTGATGTCTGGGCTGCCAGCGTGGAACGAAAACGGAAAACAAAGGACACCGCCCAAATGCAGGAAGCCCAGCCGCAAGCAAAGCAACGTAGAGAAGACGGCGGAACGGAAAGAAGCACAGACAGCCAGGCAGAAATGAGCTGCAAGCAGCAGAGCAAGGGCAGCGCGACGGAGACGGTGACGTTGCTGGCAGATGGAGCACAAGCAGGGGGGAAAGGCAAGAGTTTCCAATATGTTTGTCCCGCTTGCCAAAAGTCTGTGAGGAGCAGTATACGCACGGGCCAAGTAGATCACCGGCGCGCATGTGGTAACCGTTTCCAGGTGTGGGATGCGCAGGTCGTTGCGAAAGGGTATGTGTATATTTGCCCTGCTTGCAAAGGGAATGTGGCCAGTGACGTGAAGACAGGGCAAATCGACCATCGAACGGTGTGTGGGAACAAGTTTTCTGTGAAGGACGGCGTTGTGAAGGACAAAGCGTATGTTTACGTTTGCCCCGCTTGCAAAGGGAATGTAGCCAGTGACGTGAAGACAGGGCAAATCGACCATCGAACGGTGTGTGGGAACAAGTTTTCTGTGAAGGACGGCGTTGTGAAGGAAAAAGCGTATGTTTACGTTTGCCCCGCTTGCAAAGGGAATGTAGCCAGTGACGTGACGACAGGGCAAATCAACCATCGAACGGTGTGTGGGAACAAGTTTTCTGTCAAGGACGGCGTTGTGAAGGACAAAGCATATGTTTACGTTTGCCCCGCTTGCAAAGGGAATGTAGCCAGTGACGTGAAGACAGGGCAAATCGACCATCGAACGGTGTGTGGGAACAAGTTTTCTGTGAAGGACGGCGTTGTGACGGAAAAAGCGTATGTTTACGTTTGCCCCGCTTGCAAAGGGAATGTGGCCAGTGACGTGAAGACAGGGCAAATCGACCATCGAACGGTGTGTGGGAACCAGTTTTCTGTCAAGGACGGCGTTGTGAAAGAAAAAGGTGGCAAACGGCAGGCTTGAACGCCGAGAGGAAGCCATGGATCTGGCTTTGGGGTACATTTTGATCCTTGTACAGGCTAGCAAACAGCAGGCTTGGACGCCAATAAGAAGCCATTGATGTGGCCTTGGGGTGCCTGTTGGCTGCAAACGCCTAGTGAACGGCAGGCTGGACCGCCCAGAAGAAGCGATGGATCTGGCCTGAGGCGTTTTAGGCGTTTTAGGGGTTTTAGGGGTTTAAGGGCTGGCAAGTGGCCTTGGGGTGCCTGTTGGCGTGGACCGCGCTGAGAAGAAACGATGGATCTGGCCTTGGGGTAGCTTATGCCTGCGCGGTTGGGCATCCCAGACGCTTGGACAGAGTTTTAACGGTTTTAAGCTGCGCGGTTGGGCGTCCCATACGCTGTGGCAGAGTTTTAACGGTTTTAAGGGTTTTAGGGGTTTTAGAGGTTTAAAGGCTGGCAAACGGCAGGCTTGGACGCCCATAAGAAGCCTAAGAAGCCATTGTTGTGGCCTTGGGGTGCCTGTTGGCGTGGACCGCGCTGAGAAGAAACGATGGATCTGGCCTTGGGGTAGCTTATGCCTGCGCGGTTGGGCATCCCAGACGCTTGGACAGAGTTTTAACGGTTTTAAGCTGCGCGATTGGGCGTCCCATACGCTGTGGCAGAGTTTCAACAGTTTTAAGGGTTTTAGGGGTTTTAGGGTGTTCTAGGGTTTTAAGGGGTTAATGGCTGGCAAACGGCAGGCTTGGACGCCCCTAAGAGCCTAAAAGCCATTGTTGTGGCCTTGGTCCCTGTTGGCGTGACCGCGCGAAGAAGCCATTGAATGTGGCCTTGGGGTGCCTGTTTGCTGCGATCGCCTAGTTACGGCCGGCTGGAGGCCGCCCAGAAGAAAGCGATGATCTGGCCTGCGGCGTTTTAGGCGTTTTAGCATTTTAGGGGTTTTAGGGTGTTTAAGGGCTGGCAAGGTTGCCGGGGGTGCCTGTTGGCGTGGACCGCGCTGAGAAGAAACGATGGATCTGGCCTTGGGGTAGCTTATGCCTGCACGGTTGGGCATCCCAGACGCTTGGACAGAGTTTTAACGGTTTTAAGCTGCGCGGTTGGGCGTCCCATACGCTGTGGCAGAGTTTTAACGGTTTTAAGGGTTTTAGGGGTTTTAGGGGTTCAAAGGCTGGCAAACGGCAGGCTTGGACGCCCATAAGAAGCCTAAGAAGCCATTGTTGTGGCCTTGGGGTGCCTGTTGGCATGGACCGCGCTGAGAAGAAACGATGGATCTGGCCTTGGGGTAGCTTATGCCTGCGCGGTTGGGCATCCCAGACGCTTGGACAGAGTTTGAACGGTTTTAAGCTGCGCGATTGGGCGTCCCATACGCTGTGGCAGAGTTTCAACAGTTTTAAGGGTTTTAGGGGTTTTAGGCGTTTTAGGGGTTTTAGGGGTTTAAGGGCTGGCAAACGGCAGGCTTGGACGCCCATAAGAAGCCTAAGAAGCCATTGTTGTGGCCTTGGGGTGCCTGTTGGCCTGAACCGCGCTGAGAAGAAACGATGGATCTGGCCTTGGGGTAGCTTATCTGGCCTTGGGGTAGCTTATGCCTGCGCGGTTGGGCATCCCAGACGCTTGGACAGAGTTTTAACGGTTTTAAGCTGCGCGGTTGGGCGTCCCATACGCTGTGGCAGAGTTTTAACGGTTTTAAGGGTTTTAGGGGTTTTAGGGGTTTAAGGGCTGGCAAGTGGCCTTGGGGTGCCTGTTGGCGTGGACCGCGCTGAGAAGAAACGATGGATCTGGCCTTGGGGTAGCTTATGCCTGCGCGGTTGGGCATCCCAGACGCTTGGACAGAGTTTTAACGGTTTTAAGCTGCGCGGTTGGGCGTCCCATACGCTGTGGCAAATTTTTAACGGTTTTAAGGGTTTTAGGGGTTTTAGAGGTTTTAGGGTTTTAGGGGTTTAAGGGCTGGCAAACGGCAGGCTTGGACGCCCATAAGAAGCCTAAGAAGCCATTGTTGTGGCCTTGGGGTGCCTGTTGGCGTGGACCGCGCTAAGAAGAAACGATGGATCTGGGCTTGGGGTAGCTTATGCCTGCGCGGTTGGGCATCCCAGACGCTTGGACAGAGTTTTAACGGTTTTAAGCTGCGCGGTTGGGCGTCCCATACGCCTAGAAGAAGCGATGGATCTGGCCTGAGGCGTTTTAGGCGTTTTAGGGGTTTTAGGGGTTTTAGGGGTTTTAGGGCTGGCAAGTGGCCTTGGGGTGCCTGTTGGCGTGGACCGCGCTGAGAAGAAACGATGGATCTGGCCTTGGGGTAGCTTATGCCTGTGCGGTTGGGCATCCCAGACGCTTGGACAGAGTTTTAACGGTTTTAAGCTGCGCGATTGGGCGTCCCATACGCTGTGGCAGAGTTTCAACAGTTTTAAGGGTTTTAGGGGTTTTAGGGGTTTAAAGGCTGGCAAACGGCAGGCTTGGACGCCCATAAGAAGCCTAAGAAGCCATTGTTGTGGCTTTGGGGTGCCTGTTGGCATGGACCGCGCTGAGAAGAAACGATGGATCTGGCCTTGGGGTAGCTTATGCCTGCGCGGTTAGGCATCCCAGACGCTTGGACAGAGTTTTAACGGTTTTAAGCTGCGCGATTGGGCGTCCCATACGCTGTGGCAGAGTTTCAACAGTTTTAAGGGTTTTAGGGGTTTTAGGCGTTTTAGGGGTTTTAGGGGTTTAAGGGCTGGCAAACGGCAGGCTTGGACGCCCATAAGAAGCCTAAGAAGCCATTGTTGTGGCCTTGGGGTGCCTGTTGGCGTGGACCGCGCTGAAAAGAAACGATGGATCTGGCCTTGGGGTAGCTTATGCCTGCGCGGTTGGGCATCCCATACGCTTGGACAGAGTTTTAACGATTTTAAGCTGCGCGGTTGGGCGTCCCATACGCTGTGGCAGAGTTCTAATGGTTTTAAGGGTTTTAGGGGTTTTAGGGGTTTTAGGGGTTTAAAGGCTGGCAAACGGCAGGCTTGGACGCCCATAAGAAGCCTAAGAAGCCATTGTTGTGGCCTTGGGGTGCCTGTTGGCATGGACCGCGCTGAGAAGAAACCATGGATCTGGCCTTGGGGTAGCTTATGCCTGCGCGGTTGGGCATCCCAGACGCTTGGACAGAGTTTTAACGGTGTAAAGCTGCGCGGTTGGGCGTCCCATACGCTGTGGCAGAGTTTCAACAGTTTTAAGGGTTTTAGCGGTTTTAGGCGTTTTAGGGGTTTTAGGGGTTTTAGGGGTTTAAGGGCTGGCAAACGGCAGGCTTGGACGCCCATAAGAAGCCTAAGAAGCCATTGTTGTGGCCTTGGGGTGCCTGTTGGCATGGCCCGCGCTGAGAAGAAACGATGGATCTGGCCTTGGGGTAGCTTATGCCTGCGCGGTTGGGCATCCCAGACGCTTGGACAGAGTTTTAACGGTTTTAAGCTGCGCGGTTGGGCGTCCCATACGCTGTGGCAGAGTTTCAACAGTTTTAAGGGTTTTAGGGGTTTTAGGCGTTTTAGGGGTTTTAGGGGTTTAAGGGCTGGCGAACGGCAGGCTTGGACGCCCATAAGAAGCCTAAGAAGCCATTGTTGTGGCCTTGGGGTGCCTGTTGGCGTGGACCGCGCTGAGAAGAAACGATGGATCTGGCCTTGGGGTAGCTTATGCCTGCGCGGTTGGGCATCCCAGACGCTGGACAGAGTTTTAACGGTTTTAAGCTGCGCGGTTTGGGCGTCCATACGCTGTGGCAGGACTTTTAACGGTTTTAGGCGTTTTAGGGTTTTAGGGGTTTAAGGGCTGGCAAACGGCAGGCTTGGACGCCCATAAGAAGCCTAAGAAGCCATTGTTGTGGCCTTGGGGTGCCTGTTGGCATGGACCGCGCTGAGAAGAAACGATGGATCTGGCCTTGGGGTAGCTTATGCCTGCGCGGTTGGGCATCCCAGACGCTTGGACAGAGTTTTAACGGTTTTAAGCTGCGCGGTTGGGCGTCCCATACGCTGTGGCAGACTTTTAACGGTTTTAAGGGTGGCAGAGTTTCAACAGTTTTAAGGGTTTTAGGGGTTTTAGGCGTTTTAGGGGTTTTAGGGGTTTCAGGGCTGGCAAACGGCAGGCTTGGACGCCCATAAGAAGCATAAGAAGCCATTGTTGTGGCCTTGGGGTGCCTGTTGGCGTGGACCGCGCTGAGAAGAAACGATGGATCTGGCCTTGGGGTAGCTTATGCCTGCGCGGTTGGGCATCCCATACGCTTGGACAGAGTTTTAACGGTTTTAAGCTGCGCGGTTGGGCGTCCCATACGCTGTGGCGGACTTTTAACGGTTTTAAGGGTTTTAGGGGTTTAAGGGCTGGCAAACGGCAGGCTTGGACGCCCATAAGAAGCCTAAGAAGCCATTGTTGTGGCCTTGGGGTGCCTGTTGGCGTGGACCGCGCTGAGAAGAAACGATGGATCTGGCCTTGGGGTAGCTTATGCCTGCACGGTTGGGCATCCCAGACGCTTGGACAAAGTTTTAACGGTTTTAAGCTGCGCGGTTGGGCGTCCCATACGCTGTGGCAGAGTTTTAACGGTTTTAAGGGTTTTAGGCGTTTTAAGGGTTTTAGGGGTTTTAGGGGTTGAGGGCTGGCAAACGGCAGGCTTGGACGCCCATAAGAAGCCTAAGAAGCCATTGTTGTGGCCTTGGGGTGCCTGTTGGCGTGGACCGCGCTGAGAAGAAACCATGGATCTGGCCTTGGGGTTGTTGCTAAGAAAGACAAGTTCCACACCTGAGGTGGTCCCAGGCGCCGCCCCTGCCTTGGCTAAGGCCGGGGTCGGCGGATATACATATATGTATAATATGTATTATACACATATATGATATGTATATATGTATATATATATACAACATGTATAATATGATATAATATGTATATATATATATAATCGCATATATATATACATATATATATATAGGATATGCACAGAAAGACTGTGGATTTTCCAGTTGCCAACTGGGATGCAAGTCCAAGTATATGCCCCATGAATCCACATATAAATGGGATAAACACATCTAAATATTGAATAATATTGATCTATCCAATCTAAATCCTGGTTTGCATGGTTATAAACCCACTTGCTTATTGTATGGCAGGGGTTGGTAACTGTCCCATTTTGGGAATATTGGACATCACCTTATAGTAGCCATCTAGTAGACCACAAAAACCTAATGGTTGGGTGATGTTCAATGGGGACATCAGTCATGACCCATGGGGTGCCATTCCTGTACGATTTAGCATGGCGCCTTCGGCCAGGTGTCGTCATGGGTCTGAAGGTCAGTCCCATTGCCCTGCCACAGACCGTCGCTTGGTGGCAGGTCAAAGGAGGATACATCAGCGGCGATTGAACACCAAAAAAAACAACGAAACTCCGACAAGAAATATCAAGAACTCACAGAAAACCAGCAAAAATCACAGAAGACCCATGGATTTTCCCATGAAAAGCAACAAATCAATCATCAAAAAACATCAAGAAAATCATTCAACATCAAGAAAATCCATGGATTTTCCCAAGGTTTCCATCGATTTTCCATCCACAACAAATCCAGCGAAACCTGGCGGCAGGTTGCCGCCTTCCATTCTCTGGTGGGTCTGGCGGCCACCTGCACCTCCATTGGTTCCTTCGTGAATCGTGGCCTGGCGGGGACCAGCATGGTGTTTTCTGCAACGGCGACAGAAATGTTGCAATATGTATCTGTATATATATATATATACATATATATGTATACATATAATATAATATAATATAGTATAATATTTAATATTTATGTATATATATATATGTGATGTTCTAGATATTGTATGTATGTATATATATATGTGATGTACATGATGCATGATGTATTTTGGATAACAGTTTTAGATATGATGTACGATATGACGATATGATAAGGGGTGGGTGATGTTTTGGGTTGACATGAAATTAGAGGTGCTGCGCAGCTGGCAGTCAACCCGTGACAGGTTCTCAGGCACGAAGGTCCCATAACTGGAGGAAGCCATGCGAACTAGTTCCTAAGCATTATGATGGGTTATATACAGCATATTCACCATTTTTGTGTGATCAAACCCTATTCCCTAAGTGATGTGTGTATATATATGTATATATATATATGGCATCATGTATTGCTCCTGTCACGCATTTTGTTGCCTTCATTTTTGCGAGTCACATCTTGTCACATCCCCATTTTTGATGGGTAAAATCACCAGTTTCGCAGGTCAGCTCTGCTAGATTCTGGTCATATTTTTCCGATTTTTCATGGGCAACCCCCCTCCTCCATTTTTTTTCATCCGTAAATCACAATTTTTTCATCAGTAAACTCCCAATTTTTTTCAGAAAATTCCCAATTTCTGCTCCAACATCTTTGGCAAAAAAACTCACTGCCCCGGTCCGCCGTACCCAGATCCGGTTCCCGGTGTCGCCTGGTCGCAGAATTTGCAGGGCTGGGGATGAGGTCAGGTAGGACGTATCTAGGAATAGATTGGACATACCCTCTGGTAAACTAACATAGCTATGGAAAATCACCATTTTTAATGGGAAAATCCACTATAAATGGCCATTTTCAATAGCTACGTTAAATTACCAGAAGGTAGATGGGACATAGATAGAATGTCATTCTTCAACAGTCCATCTGGGTAAATTTGATCACGACCTCACTGCGACCGAGCCCTGGAATCATGGTTTTTATAGGGAAATCATCCCAAATGGCCGCAAGATTCAGGTTAGTGAAATATTAAAATTTGCCCATATCTATGCTAATCATTAACAATAAATAACATTACTAGTAATCTCATTTATTGTCAATGATTAGCATAGATGGACTGTTGTTCAGAATGTCATTGATGTCGTCACAACTGTCCAGGGATTGATGAGAATGAACAGTCAACGGTCCTAGCTGTTTTCTGGCCGTGGACACAAAGGAATTAAATGTATATATATATATTATGTATTATAGAATACACTCTTACACATGATCAATATGTATATATATATACATAGTTATCAATATATAGATACTAATTAGGTTTTGTATACATATCATGCGAATGACGGAGTGACATATGTGATGAACGCTGATTGAGTTCGTGTATACCCATGAAGAATTTCACCACTCGGGGCATCATCGCCAAATCCATCCCAGAATCCCAATATTCCCAAGATTAGGAGGTTAACCAGTTAAATATTCAATCTAGCTATTGATTTCATTTGGATATTCCATTCCCCCAAGGATTTCCCTAACCTCCCCATGTGGCGCCGAACAATGGGAGGCCACCATGGAGAACACCAGCTGCATCCTGGGCGACTTCATCGGCGGCGTCACCTTGACGGGGAGTTTGATCGCCTTCGGGAAGCTGAACGGCAACCTGAGTGCCATGGCCACCGGGATGGGAATGGGGTGGATATGATCATGGGGAATGGTGGGATGAAAGAACTGAGAGAATGGAATATTTATGTGGTGGTTTTTTGGGGTGATTTCGGACTTGGAAGTGATTGGAAGTTGGGGATCCGAAGAAGTTGCGGGAACGTTTGGAAATGAATCGAAGATCTGCATTCTTTTCCGACTTGAGAAGACGTGAGAAAACATTGGGATTGCAGTGCTCCACCCCACACACGGCCAAAGATGCAACGAAGTTGTGAAGGAGGTTTGGTTCAGCAGGAATCGCAATCCCTGTATATACAAGTAAGTAGTTTCAGATGCTTGGGGTTTTATTAAGTTTGTTTATTCCAAAGGTTGTTTTTGTTTGGCCAGTTTTGCTTTCACAGAATCTTTCGAGGACGGTTTTCACACATGTCTTGAATCTTTTGGTAATGCAATGAACCTTCGAAGGATGCAGTGTGCTGCGCCCCCAAGTGGATGTTTACACAATACATTGTCTTGACGAAACATTACTTCTCATCTGTTTGGGAGCAGGTCAAAATCTCGAACTCTGCAACCCACAGATCGACAGCATCTTTTTCTTTGTGTCATCCAGTCGTTGGGGCGCCTAAATTTCATTTGTACCTCCGTTGTACCTCCCATCGACCTTTTGCTCAGAAGCGCAGATCTTCCGTTTTTTGGCGATCCAGTCCCCTCTTCCAACGGCTGCCGTTGTCCACAATCCGACAAGCCGAACGGTGCTCAATGACCATGTTTGACACCACACGTGCCACGGAGTTGTCGAAGGATGTGGAAAAAGAGCAGACCGCTATCGATAGCGACCCAACAGTGGCTGGAACCTCGGACCGCAGGGGTTTTATCGTGGATTCTATTGGTGATTCTATAATCTCATACATAGGAACTATGTATGTTCCTGTCATCTGCCGAGTTTCTCACATGATGAAAAAGATACTTTTGGTGGGGCAATCGGTGATAGGGTCTTGTTGATCTTGTTGACAACCGTGCATCAGAAAGCGATGGACTTGGGTTTGCAAAAGCCAGAAAATTGTATGTAAAGTGGTAAACCCATTGGTAAACCTCCACATAGACTTGTGGATGGATAATTCACTGTCCATTTCTGTAGATTGGTCTCTTGCTGGATGGCACCCGATACGGCCCTGTGGAATTTCTGTAACAGTGGGCACCAAGCCCCGAGTGGGATATCGAGGTGCTGACAGCACTGATCATCCCAAAAAGGACTTGAATCGGCTGAGTTATCACAGCTCCATTCTTCCAAAAAATTGCTGGAATTATAGTGGAATTCAATGGAATTCATCCATTTTTCCTGGAAAATCGATGAAAATCTCACTGGTTCAGGATGCAGCACTGGCAACAGCGATGACTGCGATCCGACCTGGCGTACCATGACTGCGCGGTGCCTGGAGGGCGCCAAAGACTGCCATGGGAGCCAAGGCGTGGGGTCCCCATTGGTTGGTTGGAGCCAAGGTTGGGGTGTGAAAATAGCCTTGAAAATAGCCTGTACAATATGATATACCCATCATATACCCATGATTTGGATTTTTTTGGAATCCCATAAAACGCGGGATGACCATAATACATGTACATACCCTGGTTATGACTAACAGTTCGCCATGGGAAATGTAACATAGCCCATGGGATTTCGATGACCCTAATCGAAATAGATGGTGTTTACCGTTCTTAATAGCATGGTGGATCTTTCCATGGCGAACTGTAACAAATAACCAGATGGTCATGAAAATGGTCCAATGGTACCCGTATTTTTATGAACCATTGTTTTTTTTGAAAAAAATGGCTAAACACCCTATTTCATGATCCAATATAGCCCCAATGATGGCCATCTTTACTATGCTCATGAATCATTGGGATGAGCTACCCTATTTTCAGACAAATCCAAGTTTGAAATACGGGTAAAATGTGTAGGATAGGGGTTCCATATTGGAAGATGAAATATATGAAATCTGATGGGTTTGGGCTATCTTCAGCCCCATTTTTCGGAAAGCCCTGTCGAAGCTGCTCATTTCTGTGACTGGTGTCCTCCCCTGTGGGTGCTGTCAGCCGCCAGGTTTCTTGATGCCGCGTTTCTTGATCCATGTGCTCAACAGCGTTTCGCAGGCGCAGAGATTTCAGAGGTTTTTCTTCATTGATCTTGACGGATCATGTCAATGATTTCCTTTCTTCTTTTGTTGCTGGTTGATCTGATACTTCTATATGAACGTATATAAAGATAAATAAAGATAATTATATGTATGTATGATTATGTATGATTATGTATGTTTATGTATGTATAATATATATATATATAATATATAAATATATATATATATGTGTCTTTGGGTGTTTCCTTTGTTTTTTGGGTTGATGTCATGTGAGACCTCCATTATTCTTGGTCTAGTTTCCGTTTGGCGGTTGAAATATGACCATTGTGGCTCCTTCGAATTCACGGGGTGATGCTGAAGTCCAGATATTTTCGCAGTGGACATTTGCCACTCCCGGATTCCATCTAGAATTTCAAGTCGGTACTCGCCATTTTGGTTGACCAAACCTCCATACTGATTGGTGATGCTCCTCATTCTCACCAGTTTTCCACACGAAAATGACGATGTTCCAGCAAGAAAAATCCAGCGTTTAGCCAAGAAATGGCACCGTTCCACAGGAAACGGTGACATATTTGGTCGCACATATGACACAGTATTCAAAGAGCAATCTCCCGTTTTACACGTTCTCCGCAAACTCATATCAATGGGAATTCCAGGATCCTAAATTGGAGGTACTGTACCATATAAGGCCATTTTTTTGGGGGATATTCCCTTACATAGGCCTTACAAAGGCCTTATATATGGAATCGGTACCTCCAATCAATCGGATCCTGGAATGGCCATTGATCATATTCCACCTGAAAAAAAACACCAATGGAGAGCCGGCTGCCCGGCACTGAGCCAAAAAACAGGTGGTTTTCCTGACCAATGCGCTGAGTGGCGCGCTGATTCTGCTGGCCATGCTGATTGGAGCACCTCGAGGCGAGGGGCCAAGTCCCGAGACCAGGGTTGTTTCAATGACCAAAATTTCGTCTACCCTCTGGTAAACGTTTACGTAACTGATGGGAAAATGATCATTTTGAATGGGTAAATCAACTATAAATGATCATTTTCAATAGCTATGTTGACATAACCAGAGGGTAGTCTTAATGACCTAGATGATTTTTGGGATGAAGGAACCCCGAAATGATGGACAGTTTCTGGATGAAATTTGGGGTTCCAATTTTGAGACACGCACACAAGAATGAATATGAATAGTTGAAGATGATTGTTTCTTGTGCAACAAACAACCAGACATTTGTTGCTCAAAAATTAAAGAAAATGCGTTTGCCATATGGAATCGAAGCGGGTGGGAACCACGCCCACAAAATTGGACCAGGATAGAATGACCCTGGCAGTGGCAATAGAAAATCCACCAATTATAGATGGTCTTCCCATTAAAACACCATTGATAGTGGATTTCCCAGCCACCTTTGATTTTCCACCGGAGGGTGCTAAAAAAAAATCCATGAATCTTCCATTCAAAACTCCATCTGGTGATAAACATCGATAAACCATCACTTTTCCATGGCCTCATCCCCTAAAAATGGGGGTGTTCCCATTTTGTATCCACCGATTGACCCCGGTTGCACCAGCGCCTAGGCGCCTCTGTGTTGGGTTTCTTCGGGGCGCTGTGTGCGAACGGGATCAGCTGGTTGCTGGGACTGGACCCCGATGCGCGACGGGAAGGCCGCGATGGCCACGAAAACCCGGGGAATGGTGAAGAATTTTCCCCCTGGAATTCCCGAAAATTTGGGGAAGTGTGAATCCAGTTTTTTTTTTCGATATTGGATGATATTGGTAGTTGTCCCAGCCAATGGTTGAAACTTCCATTTTTTGGTGAAGACTGGGTGAACTCTCCATTTTTTGAACGTAAAGTTCGTATGCGACTCTCAAGTGCTGATCTCAAAGAGCCCAGCCTTTTATATCCAGAATCGACATTCCGGAACTGGGTTCCGGTTACTGAATGGGTCACCAGCATGTTTAGTTGTTGAACATCATCACTTTTGTACCAGTAGTACCGCACAAGGGGGTGGCGGAAGTTTCAAAAATAGGAAACCTATAGG